AAGCTTCTAAATTCAGTGGTAATTTGTTATGCAATAATGGTTTATCAATATGCTTGCTTCCTCATTCCCTTCAAGTTTGGCTGCAATGTCACCTTCTGGGAGCCGCCTTCCTTAACCACCCGCCCTATTGCAGCTGAAACCTCCCAGCTGCCCTCTGGGCTTTCTAATACTCTGTGTAACTTACGTGTTTCTTTTATTGCCTTCTCCTTCTTAAATTATAGGTTCCACGTGGGCAAAGGATTTTTTCTGTTTTGCTTATTGGCACATGGTCAGCACTCAAATACTTGCTGAGTGAATAAATGAATGCTTGCCTTGGCTTCACTCTCTGTCTTTACTTCCTGAATTCAAGGTTCACCCATTTTTAAAAGCGTGTGCTGAGGCTACTTTTCGAAGGATTTTGTCTCGGCTTATCTTTTGTTCACAACCACCCAGGCAGGAAAAGGCCTCTTGGTTTTAGGTAGTGACAGGGTCATGCCTTCTCTTTCCTAAGAATAGGTCTGCTCCCGAGACAAGCACCTCGAAGGCTGGTGGGTATGTCTTTCCTACTTGACCCATGACTGGATTCCACGGAATTTAATTTAGTCAAGCGGGCTCCAAAAGACACAGGCAGTCCAAGCCGCAGATACTCCAGGTGGAAGCTAATCTGATTGTCCTTGATGCGAGTACATTCGAGTCTGTCATGTGTGGCCAGCCCGCAGTCATGTGGCACCAGAGGGGCAGCTGTATCAACAGGCCCCTTGCAGGTCCGCACACAACTCCACTAGAGACTGAGTTTTAAATGAGGGAGAGGGGGAAAATACGGAAGGAAGAGCTAGAGAGGCTCTGGTACCAGGAGTGGTTAGCAGGCCTGCGTGAGAGGCCAGTGCTGCTGCTGCTGTGCAGGCACCGCGGCTGGTTACCTGCTGGTTGGCCAGGTGTACTCTGAGGCCCTTCCCGAAGCGGGTATATCCTGACACTTTGACCAGAGTTATCTCCACCCTCCGCGCAGATTGCCGAAATGTCCTTGGGCTACAGTATCTGTATTGTTACAATGATCGAAAAGCCACGTAATAAAAAGCCCTTTTTTGAGTTTGTGGCATTGTGTGTCCTCTGGGTGACAGGTGTACAATGGGTGACAGAGGAACCAATGAAGGGTCAGTCCACGGGGCTCACATTAACCAGCTGTGGACTAAGTTTCTGTCTTTAGGTCTCAGTTTTCTCAGATGAAAAATGGCTGTTTTAGTTCACCTGCCGCCTTCGGGCTCCAACCTTCTCTGAGGTCTGTAACGAGCCACAGGCTGCAGGTAAAGCGGGGAACACGGAACCTGGCAGGTGCACGGGGTCAGGAGGTTAGGATCCTTCACTAGAGTCATAGCCAACGTTCTTCCCTCAGGGCAGAGATTTGCAGAAGCCAGAGCACGTAACTGTGGGAAAGGCCCCCGTTGGCCCCTGAGGCAAGTGCCCCCAGCACATTCCAACGCTGTCACTTGTCCGGATGCCTCCCTGGGAAAGCCTCCTCTTACCACCCAGGGGTCCAGGCCTCAGAGCCCAGCTAACAGCGCCCCTCTTTGCCTCCCTCTGACCCCTTCCTGGAGACTCTCCTCACCTCTGTAACATTCTTGACCCTCAGTGAGAACTACTGGGAACAACTTGCTATGTTAGGTCTGCTAGGTGTTTGTACTTTCAAAAGGTTAATGCAATTGGTGTGAACCTGTGACTGGGTGTCGGGCAAAGTGGACGGGGAGCTGGG